CCCTTGTTTGTTTTCAAAATTAAATTACCGAGTAGCCACAAATTGTGTGCATGTGGCATTTACATTCCTGTAAAAGTGACTATTTTTTCAGTAAACTGGAAGCTCTGCTTCTTTAACAGTGATTTCTCCTTATAATGTATTCATTAATTTAATGAATACCGTGGTCAATTAGGAAGATATATTGTGGCTTCAGAATGCAGATATATGGCCCTCCATATGTTGGTCAGAAAATTAAATGGTACTTTAATGAAACAAGAAGTCTCAAACAACAGAATGGGTATGTATAAAATAATTTGCATGATAAAGGCTTGCAAATAGTTTCACAGTTCGGGGGAGGGGGGTTAGTTTTTTGGGGGAGGTTGTTTTTGTTTGTTGTTTGTTTGTTTTTCCGTCCTCCAAAAGATACAGATGAAAACTCCCTTGGTACAATCTAAAAATTTGCAAGTTAGTTTCCCTGCAACTTTAAAACCCTGGAATTCATCCCCCGCAGGGCTAAGGGACAAGTACCTTTATAAGAGGCTCTTATATTGCCATAAACTCTTAATAATCCCTCTCAGCAAACAGTGGGCAAACTTAGAATAAGAACTTAGAAAAATGAGGGTTTCTTGTGTTAGAGTTTAACTGACAAGACTGTCTCAGCTACAAGTTATGTCTCTACTATAGATAGTGTGATGAAAAGAAATAACTAGGGCCTGTCTGCCTAAGAGATGAAAATAACTTTTATATGCATATTTTCTGAATGTATCTAACATTAGTTACCTTGTGCAGAGGATGGGCCTGTATATGTCTATCTTATTTCCATGCAAGTCAAAAGAAGTTCAGTAAATAGAGTTGATACAAGAAGGGGTCCCAATTGAAATACAGGGGTCTTTTAGAGGTTTGTTGCGGAGGTTACCTGATGGACATTCGTGCACTACATAAAGGACAATCATGTGCTTTAACTTCTCACTCACGATAACTACAGTCTAGTTAAGAGCTTTATTGCTGGCTCTGCATTTAGTCTTCATGATACTGGAGCTTTTGGAAAGAGAAGTTTTGCAAAATTAATCTGGAGTGTTGTGGTTATCAATAGTAAGAAAAGGAGGTAAGAAATTTCTTGATAGAAGTTCTATGTTTTGCCATCTTTTCAATAGAAAGGCTTTTTTAAGGTCAAATAGTTATGATTCTGATACAACACTTTCAGGTTTATTTTCACATTTGGGCTTTGGCAACCATAAGGTGTATCACCCCAAAATTCATACCAGAGCTATTGCTTAGTCAAATTGTGGCTTAGCACTGGTGAGAAATCCTCATGCAAGGCTTCTGCACCTTTTGGCATTTTTACTATTGTGTCAGGTAAACATTAACAGGAGCAGTATCCCACATGATCATTTGCATTATGTATGAGTAACCCAGCTAACCTAGAGGAGTCAGAATGAGCACAGTATAAACTGCTGCATTGTGGCATCATAGGACAGTCTGGGATTTGTGACAGCACTGTAGGAATTTCCATCACTCTTATGTGACTGTCTCTTGTCCCTATCTCTTTCCACCAGTCAAGGAAGTTATTCTGTTGTGCTACAGAAGCAAGAAAAGAAAAACAAACTGTGCTGTAGATACTTATCTTTTTAGTTTGTTCATTTTTAGACTGTTTTGGCTATGCTGCTACTGAAACTCCTCAAGCAGTTGAGTGCAGAAGATAGAGATAACACTGCTTTTATGTGAATCACAAAAATACTTGAACTGGAAGGACTTGTCATGGTATTGTAATTATTAAACTCAGAGGCCGGCATTCTTTACATGAATTCAACAGACGTATTAAATTATTCTACCTCCCAGTCCCAAAGAAATCCTTCAGGCTGTCCAACCACATAACATGCCTTCTATTTATTCCTTCTCACCTAATTATTCATTGGTCCTCCTTAGGCTTCCCCATGGTGCAGTGTGCTGGTCTTGTTACTCTAACCAGGGCACTAAAATCAATTTGAAATTAACTGATGTTACAAAAATAGTACTAAATTCAGTTTTTCTTTTGTCTTCTGTTTGCTAGCTATAAGGATCTGAATAGTTTTACCCAACTATTTGAAGAGAAACAAAAGGAACAACAACAAAGGAAATGATCCTTAGAGTAGTTGCAACATATAAATGGCCCAAGTGGAAGCATAACAATGAAACAGTTATAAAGAAAAATGTGGATGGAATTCAGAGCCTCAGACCCTTTACTCTTTGTCTTTTGAATAAATAGGCAGAGCAAACGTATAAATAACAAACACTTTATTTTATAAACCTAAAACTTGATTTTTTTTTTTGTGGTCATTATGTTAGAGAAACGTAATAACAAGCTTCTCAGCTTGAAGTTTCCAAGAGTATACTGTTTGATTTCCTTGACTCTAGAGAAAAGGGAAGTGATACATCAGAAGCATGTATTCTGCATTCTGTATAATGACATCTAAAAATAACTTTTGTAATGAGCTTTACAGCAAGCTCAGTAGGGTTAGCACAGATTAACAGATGGGTTCCATATTGTCAAACATTGCAGTGTAGTTATCAAGCCCACAATAATTGAGAAGGGTTATTTGTATGCCTTTAAATTTTGGCCCATCTAATGTAATTTTGACCACGCGAATATAGACAAATCCAGTGAAGGGTCAACATAAAGTAATTTAGAACATAAAATGCAAACTGCCTAAGAGTTTCGTCCCTCTTGTGATATTATTTTGCTGTAGTGTTAGACCTGCCAACAGATTCAGGAAAAGCTTTACCCAGATTCTATACTATCTGATTGTATAATGAGCCACACAATAGATTTACATCTATTTACGTACAATAAATTATATTATAAAAAAAAATGTTGAATTGAATTGTACGTTTGAAAGCATTAATTGAAAATGAAAAGGAGAATGAAATTGGCCAAATTCTGTTTTTAAGTATCCCTGGGTTTGCAAGTATGCATTGAACCATATGTGAACCTCATATAATTTAGTAAAGTTCCAAAGAACCTAAGTTCATCTATAGGGAGTGCCATACTGGGTCAGTATCCTGTCTCATAGTGGTAGAAGTGGATGCTATAGAGGGAGAGCATTAAATTGGATCTCTCTAGGGTGACCTATCCACTATTCCCTAACATCCACCTTTTCACTGCGTTAGAGGTGCCAGAAGAAACATTTCCAAATCCTGTTGTTTTCAGTGGAGTGAACTTTATAGTAGGATTTTTTGTTTGTTTTTTGTTTTGCTGTGAAGTGGTGTGCAGGACAAATTTAACATGTATGCTGATAGTATGTAGCAGGGAAAGTACCAAACAAGACTGTGAGGCAAGGGGAAGATGGGTCAAGCCCATTATATTTTACACTTACCTGCTAATACTGTTCTTGCTACAGTACTTTCTTCTCCTAGGTTTTAAGTTAATTTGCATATATAAGATATTCTAAATCAGTCCAAATGCTATTGTTTTGCCACAAAACATCAGTTTAAGACTAACCCTAACCCTATGTGCAGTTCCAGCTCTCACTGCGAATTGCCTTGCATCTAAATTTGTGCTAAATACCAATGGTACTTTGACACACAAAGTTGACCCATGAAATTGGGTTGTATTCTTTCTTTAATGTTATTTGCTGACTTATCATATACTTACTAGTAGTAGTATATTAACCCATGTTTAATGTCTAATGTAATTGATTTTAAAATAATAGAAGAACATAGATTGCTAGGAGTAAATTTTCTCTTTATATAAGGCTCCAAATATATGGAATACATATACCTTACACAAAGTTCTTTGTCTTCTGGTATCTTCCCCCACATTCCCAATCCACAGAATAACTGTTACTTATTTGTGTTTCCAAGGGGTAGTTACAGGATAGAAGACACCAGAGTTCAGGATAACCTTCAGAGAATATGTAAATATTCTAGATGTGACAGTATATGATACCAACAGGTACAAAGAACATGTCTGATAATATTAGGGCAGTCACATAAACAAGATGTGAGACGAGAATATTAGCTGTCAGTTCTTACGAAGGAAGCTAGAAGTCAGGGTTCTGACAAATACTAAATTCTTGAACAGACAGCAAACAGGCATATAACCAACATCAAATGAACCCTCTCCTCATTTTCACCCCCATCCCTTTCACTTCAAATATAAAGATGTCTTTTATAGGTCCTTCCATTTTTGGAATTTTGCAAAAGCTTTACAGTCCTAGGCCTATTTTATTTTTGTTTAATTATAATTATTCCTTGGGTAGACTTTCCTCCAGAAGATTAGCCACTAGGGCAATTTAACCTGCCATCCAATTAAATTTTTTCACTTTTGCAAAAAAAGTACTAAGATCATTTCTGTCATTTTCCAATGCACCATTTGGAAATACATTTGAATGTACATTCTCTGCTAAGCAGAAATACCTGTCAGATTTTGTTTGACACCTTATAATTATTGAAGCCTAACCATTAAAGTAATACTGAACTTATTATCCCCAGGTCTCAAATCGTAGAATCATCAAATCATAGAAAATGAGGGTTGGATGGGACCTCAGGAGGTCATCTAGTCCAGCCCCCTGCTCAAAACAGGGCCAGCCCCAACTAGATCATCCCAGCCAAAGCTTTGTCTATCTGGGTCTTAAAAACCTTCAAGGATGGAGATTTTACAACCTCTCTGTTTGTTCACAGCTGGTTGCATCATTGTGTCCTTACTTATTCATATTTGAAGAAAGTTCTTTTCCCTTTGCTAAATTTGGAAACTAAGGCATAATACTTAGCACTTGTAGGGTACTTTACATTTTCAAATACCACATCAAAAGTTATTGATCCTCACAATACTACTGTGAGGAAAGTATGCGGTTATCCCCATTTTATAGGTGGAAAAATTGAAACAGAGGTTATGTGGCTTGCCCAGGACAAAATATATTTTTTTGAACTGTGGAGTTCTTGGCTATTATGCCTGTGCTTATAACATGGGCCCTCAAAGTCTATTTGATGGAGTACCGCTGCAATACACTGCTGAGGGGTCTATTTGTCTCTGTTGCCCTCAGGATTCCGAACCGTCAAATGAGGTGGTAGCAGAGGCCCCAGGTAAAGTGGTACCCTCTACCTCAAGAAGTAGCTCTGAAGAGCTGGTATCGGTGGCACAGAAACATCCAGAAGAGGTAGGACCTTCTGTGTCTATTCTATTCCAAACGTAACTGTTGAGAATTTAGGTTTGCCGCAGTTTTTCACTCCTGGTCTTGTTTTAGTTACAAAAAGGCTTTGTCAAAAATAGAGTGCAGACTAGCCCTTCTACAACAATCCTGTTGCGATTTCTAGGGCCTCAAGTCTCACTGCCTAGAACTAAGGCTGTTTGCTCTGCTGTCGTTAGTAGAGAATCTCATAGTAAGTGGCTGGAATTTCCAGTAATCTTAGAAAATATTTTTGTTCATTCCTTCTAATATATCCATGACAAGAGCCAAGAGCTTATTCAGGCTGTGAAACAGTCAAATCCTATATTAGAAAGTTGTGTTTGTTTGTTTATTTATTTTAGGGGAGGGATTTCTTTGTTTTGGGCCTTTTGGTGTAAGGCTATTGCCAAAATTCTTAGATTTGGACTACTTTGGCCATGATTTCAAAGAACTTCCCTCTGATTTTTAAAGAAAGTTACCAGGAAACAGAACTTAAATGTGTCTAGCTACTGCAGATGTCTTAATTTGAGCACCAGGAGTTACTTGCCTGGTCTAATCATATGGCCAAATTCCACATTGGTATGACAAAACTTTGGTTCCCTGTCCATAAAAGTCCATTCAGTGTTAGCTACTACATTATTACCCAAATGCCACTGTTTGAGTTTCCCTAGAATAAAAAAAAAATGTTGGAAGAATTCTTTTAAAATGTCATGATTGTATGACTGACAATTTGTACTTCTCTTGTCTCTTGATATGAGAATGTATTTGCATGATAAAAATGTAAGTGTTAAAAATGTAATAAAAAGAAGACTGAGCTGAATAGTTAAACCCACCATACTTCTAAGAGGTCAGCATCCAGTTTCATCCAGCAAGTTTCAGGTCATGAGTTCATTCCAAAGTAAAGCTTAAGATGCATTCTGCCAACCCATGAAACATACCTATTTCATAGCCAAGAACTGGTTAGCTGTGTTAGTCTAAAGCCAGGCAGAAGGTAGGACAGAGAGGTACCTTAGAGACTAATTGGTTCAGAGAGGCATAGGAGAGAGACAAACCTGTAAAATCAAAACCTCTTTCATATTGTGGAAGCATCTTTTCAGGGGACGACCCTCTCCCCCAACCCCAAGAGTCAAAATGTCTGCTTAGAATAGGAATTGTTGGCTCCTGAGAAGAAGCCCTGATGCTTCAAATTCACTCTCCCCTGGCTTATGCCAATTTTATATATTTTTCTTCTTATGACAGACCTATCAGGAAATGTTTCTAGATCAATTAGACATTATATTAAAACCTATCTAGTCCTTTTTGAGAGTTCCTCTGATTTCAGTTCTATTCATAGAAAAGGACATTAACTCTTTGCTGTTAAAAATATTCTTTATTAACTTGTAGAATTTCCTCTCTCCTCTATTTCTATATCTCGTTTCTATATCTAGTGAGAAAGGATAGAGTCCTTTCCATAGGCAGGTCAAAAATATTCCAGAATAATGCAGATTAGTACTAATAACAATTCAATACATCTTGAATGTTAGAAGGAGATTCTTGTAAAGAAGGGAATTTGGATGACTAAGAATTTGCCCTCAAGAAAGCCTGTTAAAGTAGTTTGTTGAAGGAATAACACTTTCTCCAAAGATGCTGACTTTAGTGTAGATTAAGAATAGAGAGTTTTATGACTGGATTTACATGGGATATTTGGTGTAGGACCCTTCATTGTAAGAAAAGGACCAGTAGTATTTTTCCAGATTCTTAGATGGTATCAGTATATTGGCAAATCACCATGATGGGGAATTAGGTTAAGCTGCACATGGATGGCCAGTGTTTTAACTTCTTAAATTCTCCTTTCAGTCAATTTTCAAACTGCAGCCCTATGCTTTTATTCCATCTGTGTAAAATTATATCAGCTAACACTTGGATTGACCTGTATTAGTTTACTAATAACTAGTTAATACCATAATTTGTATCCCATGTAAATTTGTTGTGGATGAGAGAGCCATTGTTCAGAAATGCATATAACAATGAAAGCTGAAGGAATGCAGAAGTCAAATGGGTAGTAGACTGAAAGACTCAAAACTGCAAAGCATTCAAAAAGGAAGACTGAATGAAATCAGTGGTGAAAACAGATTTCAGTTTTGGCTGCAGAAGACCAGTTCATAGTGAAGATGCTTTGACATATCCTAATAACTACGTATTAGTGACTAAACTAAAATTTTCCCCTGACAGTGATGTTTCTTTATCTAGGATACATGAATACAAATGTAATACTTTTGGAGTTGTCTGAAGTTTGCCACCATTTTTTACTGTTGATGATATTTGTGGGTTTTTTGGCCAGTCATCTTGGGTCATTCTGTTTGGCTTTGTTCTTGCTAATATAAGTAACATATAATAAGAGGTAAATTTGTAACTTTCACTTCTCTCTGTGTGGTATAAAAATTTCATCCTAGATGAATGGGAGGATCAGTGGGACTCTCCCTGTCATCACAGCCTTCTCTCTCTAACCTGGTTTATGTTCATATCTGGTTTCAAATTAGATTATAATCTATGTCATGGGACCTTCTCTACCTATGCGATTACTGCACATAGAGTATAGGGAGTTCTGAATCTTGTTTGGGGATTTAGACACATAATTAAAATAAAATCTTTTATTTCGTGTTTTTGCCTGGTTGTCATAGGTCATGAAAGACCAAGGGAAGTGTTATAGATTAGTGTAGGTGAGTTATGAAAGTCCAGCAGGTGAAGAAAAGTAATTGTATCATATTTTAAGATAGAAGGAAATTTGAAACTTTATTAAGCAACTATACATTTCTTATTTAAACAAATTAAAATGTTAAATGATTATACTGGTATACCATGTCACTCTCAAAATCCACATTAAACTCATTTTTTTTTTCTTCTTATAATGAGGATTTTCTAGGGTGATGATTGTACAAGTTTCTATTAGAACACCACCACATTAGGCTGTGTAGGCACATCTACACAAGACATTTATTGCAGAGCTGACTAATTAACTCCACAGTAAGATTGGCAGCACCTATATGTGCAGTGCTATTAGGCCAGAATAAACTAATTAACTGCCAGACACAAGTACTATCCTACAGTGGATTTATTTACTAGGGGTATGTGAAATGCGCCATATTCAATTCAGATTCAGCCCGAATCAGGGACAGTGATTAAATTCATTGATTCAATTCAATTCGTCCGAATCTGAAGATTCGATGCTGATTCAGAGAATCGGCGATTCGGCCCTAGATACAGCTTTAAATATTTTTTCTATGTACCTCAAGGTACCAGGCACGGCTTGTGAACACTATGATGCTGGGGCAGATGGAGCATCTGTGCGCAGGGTGTCCCCCACATGCTTGGCGGCAGACCCAGAAGTGGACTGGGGGGACCCCAGCACACTCCCTGGTGGCTCCGGAAGTGCTTCTGGTCCACTTCTGGGTCTGCTGCTGAGCGTGTTGGGGAGCCCCCAGCACTCCCGTGGGACGCTCCATCCACTCCACCATCTCAGTGTTCATGAGCCACCTGGTACCTTGAGGTATGTAGAAAAACATTTAAAGCTGTGCCTATGTCCAAGTCATCGAATCTCTCCAAATTGATTTAGAGCGTTCCGATTCGATTCAGAGAGATCAAAGGGTCTCCTGATTCATTTCAGATGTAGAGATTCAGCCAATGAATCAGGCTGAATCTCCACCGAATCGAATCGGGGACCGAAGCTTCGCACAGCCCTATTGTTTGCTCTGCTTCAGCACATATGTAGATGCTGACGGGGCTGGCTGGGCACAAGGGTGCTTCAGTGCAGAGGCTGCCCCACACTGATTCACCCTTGTACCCCAGGCAGCCTCTCCATAGTATGTTGAGCCAGACAGGAGCAGCCCCAGGACCCCTTGCTAGCTGGGGATACTCCACTGTGGCTCAGTATGCTGTGGTCCTGGGCACATGTTCAACCGCAGCACCCAGGAGCATTAAACTCGGGCACAAACTGCACTGGAGTTTACTCAGCCATAGGAATTGCATGTGTAGACGTGTCCTGTGTGTGCTCGCTGTGAACTTGGAACTGAACTGTGTGAGTCGCATGAGGTGAAATTTCCCCTCATGTCTGCATGACAAGTTTTTTGGGTTTTTTTTTAACAATTATAGTTCAGTTGCTTTTGAGAGAAAAGTAAGGAAACACTTTTCCTGTTATCACAAAATAGTTGTGACTACCCTACAGTCCAGTGGCTGTGGTTTGACTGGCAAAATTTCGTATGGAAATAGTCTTTTGGAGCAATATGGCCTCTTTTTAGTCTTTGTTTTAAGAATTATTCTGTTGAAATACCTGAGGGTTGAAAATGGATTTGTTTTGGAAATAACCCACACAGGGTGCTTACAGAGGTGGGGAAAAAAACAGCACTTTACTTCCAGCTTGGCACATCCCTGCAACAGGCACAGCAGATGCTTCAGTTTGATACAGAGAAATTGCGTCAGTTTGACGCAGCTCACCCATCATCTACATGGTTTGCATGCTTCAGCGGGGCTTTTTGGTACTTTTATCTATAATAGCAGCACATCTCAGAAAAGCCATATTAAACATCCTATTCTTTAAATAGAAGTAAGATAGAAATGTACATTGTTTACCAACTTCTTTTCATATCTTTTCATATCAGCTTCTTTTCATATCTTTTCAAGTTAATCGTGTTTTACTAGTGTGGGCCCACGTGCTTTTTCCTCTTGCATGTATGTTTTACAAATTCTTTATTTATGCATAAAAATAATATATATAAGTTCATGACTTTTAATTCTGATGAAAAAGTATGTTTTTGAGCCTTTAGGTAAACTATAAATGATGACATTGTAGCAGTCAAATTTGAAAATTCTTTTCCTCTGTTTTGCTTTCTGAGTACAGTGGTAAAACTACCAAAGCTGTGCAAAATATCAAGATACTGAGCTAAGAAGAGCTTAAAATAGGTATCCATTAATCTGTTTCTGAATTATTAGGCGTTTACTGCTTGCGGCATATCTGG